TCAAATTTTTCACTCACAGACAACGACTTTCCACCACTTGCTAAGCGCTGTCGTTCGTTTTTGACAAAAACAAAAGAAACAGTTGTTTGATTTGAAGCTTTCTGGATCAAATAAAAACAATAATAACATTGCCTACCGAAGAGTGACCGCTGGTAGAAAAAACTGTTACTAATTTAGATGTGTCGCGGACCAGCGATCGAACCCAGGTCCTACGGAGTGGTAGTACGCACCTGTAACCACTCAGCCACAGTGGCCGTCAAATATGTACCAAGCCACAAAAGCTTATCAAATTTCCTATGGTGCCTTGTGCCAATAATTTTATTAAAATTTAACTATGTAGACTCGATTGTATTTGTTAAACATAAATGTTGTATATTTTTATTGTATTAGGCAAGCAACAATTTTATACAAGCTTTGGGCGAAACTAAAATGAAAATATCAGTAAATTTGTTTAGAGTGTTAGGAGCCGCATTAATTTTATGCTGTTCCTGCCGAAAATTCAGCGTTTCCGACGATTGCTAGTCAAGCGCAAAAACTTCCACAATAATATTTGAATTATTTTCGCTTTTCTGTTTGTTAATACAACACTATTACACAGACTCGCTTTCGCCCTTAACGCTTATCAGCGTTGCTGTTGAAATTTAGTTTTATTTACACGAATCATTCAAGCATACGTAAAAGTACTATATTTTTTATTTTTTTATTTTTTTCTTCTCCAACGTCTTGTTACATAAGTGCGCGAATATATTCATTAGGTTGATAAAATTATTCGTTATGTGATTAGTTTATTTTATGACAATTTTTCGCTTCCTCTGCAGTGACGAACGTTCCAAAAATTTTAAATTTATTTACAAAAAAAACTACAAGGTCACACGAAGCAAGGTTTATAAATAAGAGGCTTTTATTTAGTTCGGTAACTCATTTATTTTAAAACAAACTTGACTATATTTACATGCACATAAGTTACTCATACACATAGCATGTACATATGTACATAGTATAGCCATGCATATATCGAAACGAATTTAAATCTCGCATAAGCCACCATAGAATGCGCGCGTTGCTGTCTGAATTAGTGATTAGCAGGCGATAGTCAGGTTATCGTTATTTGTTTTTGATTGATTTGGTGGTTTGGGTGAGGTATTCAGTAGTTTTAAAATCAAAACGTACTTAACCACGTACATATATACATATGTATGTATGATACAGCATACAATATATACTGCATACACACCCTGCAGGGAAGCCTGAAACAAATTTCTGCTTCCTCACATTTCGTAAATTTTTTGCAAACGCTCGCATGAGTCGTTGTATTTTAAAACAAATTGACCGCGCCAAGGCCCTAGATACGTTGGGTCGTTTACCTTTTACATTAGAATCTGTATAAGTTGATCTAATGCCTCATTATAAACATAGTAAAACTCAATATTGATCTATGATTCCAACTGTGCTCTCGTTAAGGAAGAAATCCTGAATGCTCTATGGAAAAAGTAAGCAAAGACATGCCGCTTGGCCAACAAGGCCGAGATTTGAAGTACTTTCTAACGGTTCCTAAACTTGCTCGCAGTCGAAATTTTTCCTGCTTATACGGAAATATAGTTAAACAGTTCGAGGTCTTTTAATGAACTTGCTCCGAATTTTTATCTTATCCGGCCTCCATATAATAAAAAAGTATATACTCAACTTTTTTGACACATTTCTCAATGTACTGGCGTTTTAGATAGCGACTATATGTGTCCTACTCCTTCATTTATAGCAGCTGTCAACCTTTCAATTTGAAATGTCAAATAAGCGACTTATTGAACATTACTTGAGTGCTAGACGCAAATAATACGAGTGAGACTTCTTGTGGCGAAAATTTCCCTTCCGCAAAGCCAACCGAAATTGTGTGTGTAGTCTCGTTATCTTCACTAAAAGTAGAAGGTTATTCGATTTCGTTTAAAAGAATTTTTGAAAATTATTTGAAAAATATTTACAAAAAACTCACACTGATCATAAGAACGCCAAGTAGTTAGCCCAGATTTACACGAGTCTTTTTTGCTGAAGAGAGGTATTCTAATTTGAAGTTTCTTCAGGTGCTGGCTTAATTTCAAAACAGAAGTTCACTTTCCTCTTGGGTAATGTGTTTCATCATTTTAAAAGGGTTGGGTACAAAATTATTATGGTCAATATTCTGTATTCGGAATTCTGTAATGCAAAATTCTGTTTTTTAATATTCTGTATTGCTAAATTCTGTATGGAAAAATCGGAAGACCATATGAATAAATAAAACGCATAAAGCGCGCACTTGTTTAATTTATCCATAGGTTTTCCGATTTCTCCAACACGGAATTCCGTAAAGCAAATATAAGTTCATATATATAGTTTATATTAACGTAATGCATTAAATTATAACTAAAGTTAGTTTCAGAAAGAGTTCAGATTAGTTCAGAATTATGACAAAAATTCATGTTTCGCTTTAAAAATTACAATGTTAAAAAGTTTGATTTTATGCCTCACGATGAAATCTCTGAGTCGTTTTTACAACACTCTTGAAGATGCATATATGTATGTACAAACAATTTTCACTTGCGGTTAAAAAATATATAAATATTTGGAAATCTCAGCTAGAAGTGTGGGGAACCAAATTCAGGGTTGTATAAACTTATCAATGATTTAAAAGGCGAGTTGGTTTATGCGAAAGCTTAGCTCACGACAATTCAAAATGGCCAAAAAATTCCCCAAAAGATAAAAGCTATAAAAGCATAAAGAAAAATTAAAAGAATAATGAAAAATTTACTAGACTTAAGTCATGTTTGTTTTCTAAAAACAATTGCTAAAAATTTAATTGCATATTAACTTAATTTTCCCATTATTTTTTATTTAAGAATGCAATAAGATTCAGTATTTCAGTATAAAATAAATTAATAGGTAAAATATATATTTAAAACAAGCTTTCTAATTATGAACCAAATTATGAACTGGTTTCCTGCGCCGCCTAGCGGACTATCTCAAGTCTCTAGCTTATCGGGAAAGTTGGTGAACTATTGAATGCGAAATTCCAGGACATATGTATATTAGGGTGCCCATCGAAAATTTTTTGGAAATTTCAAGACCCTACCCCGTAATTTTATTCGTTTTTTATGAGAAATATTATTACCTACTTTCATACGTTTTCTAAAGGTCATTTGGAGGGGGCGACCTGTCGATTTAGGTCAGAAAATACGATTTTGTTGATTTATGAGTTTTTGAATGACTTATTTTTGATTCGATTTCAAAGATCGAATATCACCTGAGAAGAGGATATATTGGCCTTTAAAATAGTATATAACAAAAAAAAAAAAAACTCATATTTCTCTTATTTTTTTTAATTTTTGACCATCGATAATTTCAAAATATGTAGTACTATCTTAAATTTTAGAAATCGGACAAAAACCACGAGATCCACCAACGTAACGGTAATTTCAAAAACTCAAAGCTAGCTATATTTGTACATTTGTACATTTTGACAGTTACAGTGAAAATTTCTAGAGAACAACACTCTGTGGTATATACATATGTACATACCAAGCTTTAGCCTCCAATAAAACGTAGGCGATATTTTTTTCTAGATGCTCTAGAAACATTTCTGCACCAAAGAGAAAATTTTGGAAAGTGTTTTATTTTGCGGTTAGGGCTCGATACTAAAAAATGGAAAACAAAGAGATGTATGTTGTCTTCTTTATGGCAGATGCTGTTCTTCACTGCAGTGTTCTACACTTTTAGTGCATTCATCGAGCAGACCTAATATGAATAATAATAAAGCGAGTAATTTTGCATCATTTGCCTAAAAAAATTCGTTTTTTTTTGGACTTATTGTAGTCTTTTAGTAAATGAGGGATATGTGAGCCGTTTATTTTGAAAGTGGCATAAGTCACTTAATACCTCTTGTGCTTAAATGACCGGTTACTTGTAATCCAATGCAGATGTAAATCTTTCATCTCCATGGCAAAACTTTTCATCTCTAGCTGATGAAGTTGAACAAGTAACGTATGCGTCCAGATGCAAGTAACCGGTCCTTAAAGTATACAAGCGGTATGAAATGACTTATGCCGCTTTCAAAATAAACGGTTCATGTGTGTATACCCATATATGATATATGATATGTATGCACATAAGGTATGCGCCAGCAACTAATCCATTAAAAAAGCATTCGAAATTTTTTTTCCCCGTGATTAGCGAAGAAAGTGAAACGAAAGATATGTCGTGATTGCGCGAAGCGAACTATGTACATACATATACATTCCATTACATAATCGAAATCAACTACTCACAACTCCACCTTTCCGTGTGAATAAAAGTAATGCGCTGGTGGTAGGTACTTCATTCATTTGAAAAAAAAAAAAAAAAAAAAAAAAACGAGTACCTACTATGTATTGATTTCTTAGCGCTTCCGCAATTGTTCACTTTGGAAGCGCAAAGCCTTGGCGCTTGTATGGCTTCCGAAGAGATTTAAAGCGTTCATTCTGTACAAAAATGTCCATTGAATAGTGGTGCATATTTTATACCAAATGGTACACAAATGATTGCTTTTATTATCTGTTGTGGCTGAATGTAGGGTGACTCGTTGTAGTTGTGTGTTGTATTTACTTTTTGTGTTTTTATTCCTTTTTATTTCATTTTATTGTTGTTAATTGTGCAGTAACAACAATTAAAACAAAAAATCACTTATGGGAATATAAACATTTCCAAGTACTTGTTTGATGTCCGAGTTTTTTTCTCTTTCAAGCTTCCCTACGAGATTCGAATGTGAATTCTGAAGATTTTCAAAAACCATTCAACAACTGAATTTATGTAGATACAAGCAAGTCATATTAGAAATATTTGCTGCAAAAATTTTAAAATGTTAACATGAAACTTTAAGTATATATGTTATTATCGCAGTATTTATAGCAACTTCCGCTTAATTTTAAGCATCGTCATAAAATACATACATATATAGTTCACTAATAATTTCGTACTTCTGCTATAATTCTTTTCAGCATCACAATATGAACCCGGCGGTTACTCGTTGCAGGCACAAAATCGCAAAGATGCCACCATGAACCAGCGTGATGGTATTATCAAATTCGAGAATGAGCGTATTAAAACGCTACAGGAGGAGCGTCTACATATACAAAAGAAGACGTTCACAAAATGGATGAATTCATTTTTGGTAAAAGTAAGTAACCATTTTCTTTAACTCTGATAAATTTATACTATTTGCATACGTATACGTATCAGAAGCACTTCTTTCCTTCCGTTCCAACCATTTTTGTTGCATATTCCAATTTACTGCCAACCGCCGCTTAAGAAATTTAACTTCAATAAATATTTGGCGCCTATACTTTTGGTAAGCGTTCAGACGAGCTTCTCCGAGCTTCTCTTTCCGTTTGCTTAAATGCCAATATTTCCACCCAAAAATCGCTTGCGTGGTCCGATGGAGAAATGGATAAATTTAAATTGAGTTTCTCAACGAAAATGAATGCCTACATCCACGCCGGATTTTATTTTTGATCCATCTGTAAATACCGCCATGTTCTCGAAGCACTGGGCCCCCGACCCGAATCCACCCACTGTGGCTAACGAATTTTGTTCGGTTTTGGGGTTAGTCCAGGCCTTTGGCGTGATATATGTAGTCAGTGGGCAAGCAAGTGAACAATTTATGGGCCAGCAATATACATTCCTTAGAGCGTCTTCTAAAATTTCTCTCATAATCCAAGCTTACGGGTAGTATGTACATATGTATGTATATTCAACACTAAAAGCCATTATAGCGACAAAAGCAATGCAGTAAGCGGCTAAAGCACCAAATAAGAGGAAGAAGAATATTTAATTACTTTTAAATAATATGACGTTTAAATTGTTAGCTGGCATTTTATAGTGCTACGGGGCGTATACATTACATTCACAACTACGGGGTGAGCACGAGTTGTTATATGGCCTTTTCTATAACTTTTCTAAGTATTCATTTAAGTACAATTTCGCAGTTATGCACAACTGAAGATAATGCACTGTCTAAGGTAAGTGTGCCACCATTGAGCGCTTTTGTCACAAAATATAACAACTCGTGGGATTTGCTTATATATGTATGTATGTATGTACATTAGGGTGGTCTTCAGAGAATAATGCCCAATTGTTTATTTAAACATTTTTGAATTTTAACTATTTTTTAAGGGTCTCCGAAATATCCAAAAAAAAAATCAAATATACAAACAGATATATACAAAAGAAAAAAAGAAAAAATAGTTTAAATTAAAAGACGTTTAAATAAACAATTGGGCATTATTCTCTGAAGTCCTCTGAAGAGAAGCAGAGTTTTCAGATTGAAAAATTTTGATTTTCATGGATTCTATGCCATTTCTACGAAAAGTCTTTTTTTCCCCATACAAAATACATGGGAAACTTTGAGCGCTTTGAGCGACTTCTAATATATTTTAATTTTAAAATAAAAAAACAGGGGTATATTTTTATCGGTATAGAACAATCCTAGGGGGTGAGAGCATTCAATTTCCGATTTTACTTTTCTCCCATACATTTTTGGACCACCCTAATGTGCATACTATTGAAAATTAAAATAAAAACCAAATTGCTTATTATTTAAAGATTTTTATATTTCTCAAATTGGTTTAGAAAGTTTCTTTTGTCCAAAATATGAACAATGGGACGTCAAAGTTTTTCCTTCCAGGCTACAATGGCAATATGCATATTAAAGAAACCAATATATATATCAATACAATATGTATATGCATATGTATATGTTTTATGAACAAGTCTACCAGTGTATGTGTGAACATATCGCACATCAAAGGTGACTCAAAATTACACTTTCATCAGAAAATGCGAAAAACTATTTCTTAGCACATGTTAATCATATGGACAAGGAAGACTTAAGCTTAGGTTTTTTTCAACAAATTATAACAAAAATTTTCTCCAGCTTTTGCTGAAAGATAAATAAAAGCTCTGTGTACATTTTTAGTGAATAATTAAAAAAAAACCAAATTTTGAGTTGTGTCACTTTTAAAGATGCTGTGCGTTATACATATATGTATGTAGTATAAGTTTATTAAATACATATTAGAGCTGTCCAAATATACTCACTCTACTTTGTTGTTGTTGTTGCAAGCCCATCAAGTCTGATTAAAAGCACACAATACAGAAGCTAAAAATCTTAAACAGCTACTTAGCTATGAGATAATTGCACAGAAACTTACTTATTTTGTTGTTTCATTTTGTTACAGGCAAAAATGGAGGTCGAAGACCTATTCACAGATCTAGCCGATGGCATCAAATTACTCAAGTTGCTGGAGATCATATCGTCGGAGAAACTGGGAAAGCCGAATAGCGGTCGAATGCGTGTTCACAAAATCGAAAATGTCAACAAGAGTCTGGCCTTCTTGCACACCAAGGTAAGTAAGCAACTGCGATAGCAGAATTACAACAACTGCAAATAAGATTCGTCATTTTGTTTTGTTTGGCAGACGCGTTTACTTTTACTGAATACATACATACATACATACACATTTAATTATCCATGTATGCATTTAAGTCTAGAACCGGTTCTAAAGGAAGATTTATAAGACTAGCTCAGAAACAGGCCATTTTGGTCAAGTCCAAGCTCTTGTTATAGGCTTCGCTATTATTAGCAACAGATTCAGATACAAATACACATTGGCTTCTATAAATACTTGCCTAAGGCTATCTGCACACTTGTCGTCCAATCATAGTTGCATTATCGTCTCGCCCTGAAATTTTGAGCCGAGCACATGCATTTCAAATGAGATCTGCACACTTGTCGTTATCGGCTACTTATCGCCAAATCGTAGAAGATGCAGAAACGGATAAGTACGGCACTGTCGTGTGCTAATCGTTGTGCACGCATTGTTTGTTTACATTTTATGGGGAAAAATTAGTGAAAAAGTTAATATTTGCATAAAAATTAGTATTTTTTGCATAAAATATGTGGAAATTATTAAAAAGTGGATAATTGCATTATAATTCAATAAATGTGAACGTTTTAACTATAAAATATGACGAAATTGTAAAAAGCCTCTGTGTGCATGCACAAAACACATTTCAGGAAAAGAAAAGAAGAGATATTATTGAAAAATGATGTCTAGAATTGTTGCAGCATAGTCTATATTTTAAAAATTGCAGGTTTTTGTAAATTGAAATGAATTTTTAGACGCCAAATGAATTGAAATATCACGACCGAGTGTGCGAAAGTGTAGTCGTCATGTAATCGTGGCATCATGATTGTGACGATGAAGCAACTATGATTGGACGACCAATGTGCAGAAAGCCTAACTCACAGCACACTGAAATGCTGCGTTGCTGCTGTGTCAACTTTCCAGCAATCACGATATTTACATAGATTGTATGTAGCAGAATATGGAACTAGTATAGTTAATTGTTATACTGACCCGTCCCAATTTTTCTCCGAGTGAGGGAGCAGCATAGAAACAGACAACTAACTGGCGCAGTGTTCGTCGTGCCGTGGCATATGGCCATTGATGGCGCACGAGAGCAAACCACTGGGGGCCTTATACTATACAATCAATCGAATTGAAAAGAATTGCTCTGTGCACGCGCACTGGTCGCGCTAATATTAACGTGCGCCTGCGCAATGCATGCATGCATTTGCGATCGATTGCATTCGTACCAGTATTGCGCGCTGCGTGCTTTGTATGAAAAGCACGTCGTTGCTGCTGCCTTTCCCCAACAAAATGCATACCATAAATAAATGCGTAAACGCGTGCCTGCACACATTTTTTTGTATAGTTTTAAATGTGTTTGTTTATATGTATGTATGTGTATAAATATGTACTTGTATTTGCCTGGCATATACGCACCTCTCTACGTACATATATATGTATGTACATATGTACATTCAAACATGCACACACTTATTATAGTATATGTTTGGCGATTCCCAGTGGGAAAATGTAATGTACGGTAATCGAAAAAATAATCAGTAGAACAGCCGTTTCGGCATTCGAAAATGCATTTTTTTTCCCACGGCCATGTCCTACAAAAAGTGGGGCATTCAATTTTGCATTACCTAGTATCGAGAAATGAATGTGATTTAATATGAATTTTTTTTGGACTTTTTGGATACATTGGAATGCCGATTACATATTAATCAGTAAAAGAATCATAAACTCATAAGAAAAGCATTACATTATTTATCACTACGGTGACCATTCGTACCGATTTTGGCGGGACAGTACCGATTTTGAGAAAATTGTCCCGCTGAATATTTTTTAAAAGTCGGGACGAATAAGTGCCCCGACTTTTCATATATTTATTAATTTTAAATGAGTCTCCCTGTACTCTGACCCAAAAACAATTTTTCTAACAAACGTGGCAGAAAATTCGGTATCACAAAGAACATAGAATATAAAGGAGCCATAAACATTCCTTTTTAGGATCTTTGGTTATGTTTTATTCAAAGATATAAATAGGCAAGAGACAACATTCTTTGGCTATTGTTTTTATTTTATGAAATTGTAGCTCGTTATTTAACAAAGACCATGCAAGTAAAAATTTCAAACGTTCTACAAAAATTAGCTAAGTTCGACAGTTTCATCAAAATTTTTAGATTTTTAATTAGATTGCTAAGAAATGTTCCAGGTATGCAGTTTTGTAGCGCATTCAATTCAAAGTTCAAATTTTAAGTTGTTTTGACTTACCGTTAATTTTGTAAAAAAAATTTGTGGAAGGTATTACTCATTTTCTTATTTTTTTTAGATATTAAGCTATTTTTTCATAAAAAATAATAATAAATTTTTAAACAAAGAAAAATAGCCATTTTCATTGTTGGTGTTTCCGACAGGGTAGGAGTGTGATGTAATGTGGAACGATTTTCCGTCATCCCTTGTCAAATTTGGTTTGGAGACAAACCGGTTTCGGCGTTGGGCCATCATCAGTGTAATTTTTCGTTCTGTAGCCAAAATGTCTCTTCCCTATTGACATTCTCGCCACCGTATATATTTTGTGTATAAATTTTTGCGATAATTTTTCAAGTTTTTTCTCTTTGTTTTGTTTTAAATAAAACTGTATTAAAAGTTGTTATGTCTTTTTATTCTAAAAAAAACTTGTATGTTCGGATTCGATGCATTACAAATGTCCCGATTTTTATCCACAGAAATCTGGTCACCGTATTTATCACGCATGTAATGCATTACTACTTTTACCACTGGGTTGTAAGTCGGCTAGTACGTGTGCGCCATTTACACACCTCTTGCCATTTCTTTTGTTTCTTTTTATTTGGCTTAGCTTTGGTGTAACTGCTGCATTATATTAGCTATGCATGTATGTACATATGTATTTTTTTTTTTGTTTTTGAAAGTTCACATTCACCGATGGCACCATGACAGACGTTAAGCGGCAAAAGCCAAGATGTGTTAATTACATACATACATACGTGCCTACATACACATGTCCTCTGCAATAACGGCACAAATACATTTTGGTGTTTGGCCGCAAAACCTTTTGTTTGTTTATGCGTGCATACATATGTACATATGTACAAATTTATACGAATTTATCAAGCAAAACATGCAAAATATAAAAATTAAATCTTCAATTGCATCTCAATTGATAGCTCTGTAAAGCTTTTGTAATCTAAATCTTATCTTAACACGAATAGCATTTACCCTAATTAGAAGATAGTATAAACTGTACAGCGGCAAAAGTGCTCAAGTCAGTTAAGGTTTATAAGTCTAGAGCCTGACTAATCTCTGTGAAGACAATCCTTTATTCCATTACCGGAAAAAATTTTCCTCAATGAGGAAATTTAGCCTGGAGCTATTGAGTCCTAAACAAAGCGTTGCGCAGTGGAATAACTCAATAAAAAATATGGCAAAAAGTACTAATATTGCTTCGATTTTGCTGTAATTTGTTAACTTTACTTAGCAATAAAGAAATCTGAAAAATCGCATAGATTGGAAAACTGCCACGCCCGCCCACAATACTAGAGGGAGGAGATTGTATATGTCGTCTTATTTTAATGAAATTCGGCTTATGGCTGTGTTTTAACCAGAAAATGTATAATCTGGAAGATGGTCAAAATTGTCCTACCATATAAGAACCAAATTCTCTTTAAACCGGATAATAGCGAATATATCATGTCTGCCTCCTTAGGTAGCGGGCGCGAAAGTTCACCAATAATTTTCTATACTTCTTCATTCTTAGGCAAAAACACTGCATTAACAAATTCCAGTAAAATCGGATCTCGATTACTACATAAATTGTGGGGCAGCTTATATGGGAACCTCTCATTGTCTTGGGCTTTCTGTCACTCCCTGACCACTGTGCGTTAGAAAGAAAATATCCGTCCGGTTAGTTGTAAAACATTAAGGGCCGGTTGCTCAATGTCTGATTAGCAAAAATCGAAGGTATAAGCTCCGGTTAGATATAATGACTGCTTTGCTCCGGGTGTATTTCTGCCATGAAAAATAGCCTCTCATAATTTTTTTTTTTCTTTGTGAGAAAAATATACATATGTATCGCTCAGAGCCTTCAAATGAAAATTTACCAACATTTTACAAAAGTAGCGACGGTATAATCTGTAAGTGGCATTTTTTCTTCAATACAAATATTTTAAAATTAAGAAGTTACCCCTTTAGACCCCTTCGTCGACAAGGGTTAAGATTTTTTTCTGTTTTTGCAAAAATACGGGAAATCATATGCAAGTCAATAAAAATCGTTTTTCTTTAAATCATCTACTTGTTTAGCCGTAATTAATTTTTGGCCAAAAAATGGGTCGAACTTCCCATAGTGAGATATTCACAATTCATAAAACAGAACTGGTGTGCAGCGATGTGTTGAAGAGTTAATAAGTAGCTCTTTTCACATACACCTCCAAGAGTAGTCCCGTTCAGAGCTATGTAGTCGTGAGACAGTCCGATTTGCTACAAGGTTTC